CAGGGGGAAGATGAAACACAGAGTCGTGTGTGGTGTGGTCGATTGAGCGGTTAATGGATGTACCGACAAGTTTGCAGTATCCTTGCTCGTCGAGGAGCAGGTTTTCTGGCTTGAGGTTCCTGTAGATGATACCCAGTTGATGCAGGTAGTCGATTCCCAATGTCTGCACGTGTCACCGACACACATACATGGATGTCAGGTAGAACGATCACATGTGTGCCTGCAAGTGACTCACGATGGCTCCGATGTAGAACTGAGCCTGCGGCTTGGTCAAGATGCCTACACACACACACACACACACACCCCAAGCGCCCACTGACTGTAGCGGATTCTCTCTCTGTTTGCACTTTCGCTTGCCAATTTGTCTGATGGCGTAAAACAGGTCGCCGCCGCCCAGATACTCCTGCAAAAAGTATACGTGCGAGTCGTCCTTGAAGGACTTGATGAACTGCACGAGACACGGGTGGTAGCACTGCAGCAGCATCTGCCGTTCCGTGAGTACGGCCCGCTGCTGCTTTCGCCGCGCCACTGCCTCTTTGTCGATGCACTTGAGGGCGTACTGCTGGCCGGACACTCGGTGACGCACCAGCTTGACCACACCGACCGCGCCCTTGCCTGCAGTGTCGCGATTGGTGCATGTCTGTCTGTATGTATTCTCGTGAGTGAGTGAGTGAGTGAGGCGACGCACGTACCCGCCTGCTTGAGCACCTCCAGGTCATCCAACTCGATGTTCAAGTCCTGCATACAGCATTATATTATGACTCATCAAGTAGCGCTGGGCGGCTGTCTGTCGGTGCTGTCTGTCTGTCTGTCAGGCGTATGTGCATACTTGGAGTCTCATCCTGTGCTCGAGTGTGTTTCGGAAGGCGCCCACGACCTCCTTGAAGACAGCAGACTCCAACGTGAGACACTGACAGACCCAACAAGTCAATCAATCAATAACTTCGGCAGGCAGGCGGCTGGGCTGCCTCGCATACATACCGTGGTGTGTCCTCCGGCGATGCACCGTGCTGATCTCTTCTCAGACAGCAGCAGCGCCCTCTCGCCGAAGTAGTCCCACTTGCCCAAGGTCCTGAGGACCTGGCCGTCTCGCTCGACGCGGATCGTGCCACTCTGTATAAGATAGAAGAGGTTGGCCTCTTCGCCCTGCTCGACCACAATGTCCCCATTCTATGACACAGACAGACAGACAGAGACACGGCCCACAGCACATTCAGCTGTATGTACACATGCCCCCCTCACTACGTACGCCGTAAGTCCGTTGGCTGAGTGATGCCACGATGCTCTGCACCTGCTGCTCCTTCAGTGTCTTGAACAGCCATATCTGACGAAGCACTGTCCAGATCTGTCATGGCACACAGACATCAGACACAGACAGACAGAGTGGGTGGACAGCCCCCCCCCCCCCC